AACTGTGTACTAAGAATGCCCACGGGGTAAAGAATTGATTTCTCAGGGTGAGGCACAGGGCCTTTCTATCTAATCTCTTGCTGTGATTCCCTTTGAAGAGCTCCTCTGTTCTCTTCCAGAGCATAGAATTTCAGGACTCCCTATGTATTTTTGTCCTTTTTCATAATTGATCCTCTGCCATAAATGCCTACTACTTCTGCCTATAGCAGTTTAACTTTTCTTTGAAATCCATTTTGCATCTTTACTTTTTACTCTCATTCCTTGTACATACTCCCAGTTCATAATTAGGACAACTGCTCAGATGTTCATGCCACTCAAAAAGCTTCTGCAAATCTCTTGTATTACGTGTATCAAATTGTATTTTACCCATTTAGTCTTCTGTCATCTCCACCCACCTCCTTGATGATTTGGAAATGACTCACTCATCCTGAAATAGAGTTCAGCCCATTGTTATTAAAATAAGTATTTATTAAGTTCATGCTGCACCAGCACCAATTGTGTATTTAGGGAAAATCCATAACTGTATGAGAATTGTCCTTTAAATAAAACGATGGAGAACATACATCGTATATATGAATATGTTTATGGTAGTCAGTCCCTCTTCATTCTTTTAACTTGCTTGGTTTAATGTAAAGAAATTCACTGTATACTTAAGCATATGTCTTTAGGTTAAAAACCATTAACACTTTTTCTTTTAATGAGAATGGGAGAGTGTTCTAGGCTTATGTAAGTTATTAATAATTTTGTATAAATGATTGACAAAATGTACAAGTCTGTGATCCTGTCATAAAGAGAGCGTAATGAACACTTTTCTTTTGTCTGTGAAACTCTTTTTGTTCTTTGAGTTTATTGACATGCTTTTCTTGATTTTTTTTTTTTTTTTTTTTTTTTAGTGCATGTTTCTTGAAGTCTCGCAGTGTGCTACATCCAGTGCTAATTGTGTGGAAGGGGCAGAGATTATTCCTGAGAGCCCCTGCCTGGATAGGGAGGCAGCTTGTGCTGGATTTCAAGGGCAAAACGCGTTTCTTTTTGTTGACTCTTGTAAGCAAAGAGGCAGAGTTTCAGAGACAGCCACCATGCCCTAACTTTGGGGAAGTGTCTGAGGCAAAGTTAGGACCACTGATGTCTGGGTGGGAACAAAAACAGTTGTGAAATGGCTGTAGTGAGGGAACTTATTTTAGCAGAGGGCAAGGACTGTAGAAAACAATGATGGAGTTGGCTTACACCAAGAAGACCAGCCTAAGTTCTGAGTGAGAAACTGTGAATATGAAAGGGAAGAAGGTCCAGGAGTGGGAGGATAAAAGTTCAGAACCCAGTGCTCACCTTAAATGTATCCACAGGGAAGAGTAATCAGATGAGTTCACAGTGTTTAATCCTTAATGCCATTTGCTCTGTTTACATTGAAGTAAATTAGGTGAGAGAGAGAGCAGAGGCCCATCCAGGTTCTAAACTTTGCCTGGCTGTGAGGTGTTTCCTGGAATCTCAGTCTGGTTACTAATTTACAGAAGTGACTGGATGTGTGACTGCTTTCCAGCTTGTGTTAGAGGAGTGATGCAGGGAATGCACAGAAGATCTTGAAAGGAACTTGAGTAGTGGCAGAAGAAGTTGTAGATTGAAGACTAGATGCAGAAGAAATGTGTAGACTGAGCAAATACCTTAGTGTAAATGAGATCATGTATTTGGAAGCTCTCGGTAAACTGAAGCACTGTGCAATCTAATGTATTGGACAGTACAGTTCTCTGTGTATGTGTGTATATGTGTACTTCTTTTGTCACTGAACATCTTCCAGTTCCTCTTCCAGCCCAGGCAGGCCCTGCTGATACCTTTGTGTACCAGTTCAGCCTCTGCAGTAAGAAGATCCAGGATTAACTCAAAGTAATTCAGTAGACCCCAATCCGGCTATTCAGATATTGCAAAACCATTAAGAATTGTTAGTCACTAATTCTTACACCACTTCTGATATAGCAATGGGTTTTTTTGTTATGTTTGTGGTTTAGAACTGTACGCCGTTGATGAAATGAAAGAAGTTGTATTTAAAAATTAATTAAAGGCTTTAAAATGTAATATATAAAACACTATATAAAGAAATTTAGAAACCCAGGAAACCTGGGCTCTGGACTGGGAGTATAGTGTGTGTGAGGCCCTCCCTGGGTTTGATCTCCAGTACTGCAAAAAATAAAAAATAAAAAATAAAAAGAAACCTAGGAATCTATGACCCAAATTAAATACACGTTAATATTTTGCCTTTATTGCTTATTTTTATTTTGTTTTTAAAGCAATAGAAGAACATATATATAGCGGAGACATTCATGCCCCCTTTTTCCCTCCCTAGTGATAGCCATTATTTTTAATTCAGTGTGCCAGTGTCATGTATTAAAAAATTATTGTTTAGATTGAGTATGGTGGTGGACACCCATAATCCCAGCACTCAGGAGGCTGAGGCAGGTGGACCCCTGTGAATTGAGACCAGCCCTGCAATACATAGTGAGATCCTATCTGAAAAAAAAAAAAAAAAAGGAAAAAGTAGTTTTTATTGCAGGTATATCTATCCATAAATAATATGTATTTTGTTTTTAATGTTGTACTAAAAAATACAAATTATACAGTTTTCCATATGAAAACTACAGTAATTTTTCTAATTTTTATTTATTCTGCATGACATTAAAAACATGTAAAATATATTTTTGGCATAAAAATATGCTAACCTAATAACATGAATTGAAATAGCTTTTAAATTTTTTGAGTGTAATCTTTATAATGATATGTGTTTACACTGAGACCTACTACATATCATTTATATGTATGTACTTGTGTGGCATAGTTTCTGCAGACCACAATCTTCTGTACTGTGTGATATACTCTGTTATTGTCTAGCATATTCATTTTTAAAATGCTTGTCTTAGAGTTATAAATGTTTTTATGACGTGATAGTAGCTTGGCACACGGGATTTGAAAAAGCATTACTCTAGGATTAATTTGAAGAATATTGATCTAATATATAAGCATATGCTCTGCTAGAAAACTAAAGATGCTTCAAATAATAGATTAATAAATTAAATTAGCATTCTTTTATACAAGATTTAACTGTTCATTTTGGTCAATCCATTTTGAATATTTGCTTTCTTTTTTTCTTTTTGGTACCCGGGATTGAACTTGGGACCTTGTGCTTGAGAGGCAGGTGGCGGAACCACTGAGCTAAAGGGTGGGGGCCCTTGAATATTTGCTTTCTGTAAATTAAATCCATATGTGGCTTATCTTTTTACATCTTAGATATTGATTCATTGAGGTGTTTTAGAGAACACGTGTTGGTTAATACAGAGTATCTTCTTTCAGTCTCTTCTGACCATGGCTTACCTGGAGTCAAGGGGACTATGAGTGTCAGGGGAGGAAAGAGTTCTTGAGCCCCAGCCTTATCTGCAGTGTACTGCAGTGTAGCATTACTAAGACCTTTCTTCTGGACCTTGGCTTTCTCATCTGTTAAATGAGGGTAATTACCAGCTCATTTTGAAAGCACTTTCATTCTGTGAAATACAGAATAACTCGGGCCTGGGCCTCAAGTTAGAAATTTTCTGAGAATTCATCTGATGAAAAAGAACAGAGCTTACTATTGAAGTACAGATCATACAGTTAGGTTTGTGCAAGGGGTCGGCAGGTCATACTCAGTTTAGTATGGTTCTTGAGAAGGAATGTTACCTTTACCATAAAACCGTTTCAAAGTGATCTTGACATTCTTAAAATTTCTCTACTTTTATTGCATTATCTCTAATTCAGGGGCAGGACTGTGTGATGAACACATAAGTGCTAAGTTGGCAAGGGAGTGTTCTGCACTGGTTTTCAGTTAAACATCTTCACAAGCAAGTCCAAAGATGGAGAAAGAGATCTGTAACCTCTCAGAAACCGTAGGGGAGAGTTTCATGCATCCCATACATGGCAGTATTCTGAGGCTTTGGGGAATTTTCCTTTCTTAACATGAGTTACATGTTTGGGATAGAGTGAGAACTTAGCACCTAAACTGCCTGTCCTTGAAACAGCACATTTTGTGATGAGTCCTTCATGTTTTGTTTTTTTCATATGTTTCTTTTAAGAAGTAGTAGTTTAAATTGCACTCTGGGGTAAAGTAGATGTTAGAGATCATCTCTTTCCATTTTACTTCGAAGGAAACAGTTCAGCAGGTGCTCTTGCTTGGATCTTCAGATGGAGGCAAAGTTAGGGGCAAATTTCTGGTTTCCTCTTGAGTTCCCATTTTCTTTGGGTTTGTGGATTATTTAGGAGCAACTTATGTTTAGAAGACTTAGAGACCAGCCATCAAATACAGTGGTACCTCAGTTCACGAATCCTTTTGTTTGTGAACAATTGTTTTTGTTTGCAAATTCTGTATCAGGTGACAAACACAACTGTGGCCATCTTTCCCGCACAAACACAAACATGGCCAGCTTTTCCAAAATTGTGGAACAAATTAAGTTTGTGAACCAAGGTACCACTGTAATATGATTATTGTGAAGTAGAGATTTGCTCCTACCTGAAGGACTAACGAAAGTGATGTCTTTTCCTAGTGACATTTTAATAGACAGAACTCTTAGGGAGAGGATCCCTTAATCTACAGATGGCTAAGGTATAAGCTAGATTTTTTTTGATACCTCTGACCATGGAAGAACTCAGCTCTCTCTACATTGTTGACTCTTCTTTTATTTTAGCAATACTTAACCTCCCCTTGTAGAATTTCTAGACTGAATTCTGCTTCTGTGGTTAATGTCCTCACCTCAGGCAAGAGACCAGAGCTAACCATTATATTGTGACACTTTATGCTTGGCAAGCATATGTGGATTTTTGTGAATAAAGATGTCATACTTTAGTAGTCACCATTTTATGCATTGCAAGTTACAAATTTGATCATCTCAGAATATTAGAATTGATTTTTCAAGAAAGCAAAATTTTTTTTTTTATGTTAAAGTACTACAAATAAATCTTCCTGTCTGTTCTTTCTCTCTTATCTTTTGCAGTATGCCGAGACTTTGCTGTCCTGGAGGACCACACCCTGGCTCAGAATCTGCAGGAACAAGAGAGTGAGTACTGGTGTTCATTCATGTGCCTTCAGTTTCCTTTATTCAGTGGTAGCTTGAGGCTGTTTTCTTAGGGTAAAGTAGGGAGGGAACACTGTCCCCAGGTTATACCACACATCCATGCTGAAAGATTTGTCCAGGCAAATGATGCTTGGGTAAAAAAATGGATAAAAAATTTTTGAGTGTTTTGAGTCAGACAGGCTATCAAGGATTATACAACTGATGAGTCTGTAAGAGGAAAATAGGAAATTTTTTTCTCCCTGTTGAAGGAGGTAGACAGTAGTTGTAACCTACCCAGAACTGTCAGAGGCTGAGACTCTATTCTTGCCTCCTAGAATAGGGGCCTGAACATCTTTTCCAGGTCACTATGTGAATTGCTCTGAATATTTTTGCATTGTTCTGATGGAAAGTAAACCTAAGTTATGTACAGACAGTATTTGTGTTTGTGATTCTTGAATAATTAAGTCATTTGTCAATATAAAAAGATTTGAAAAATGGAGCCATTAAATAGAGTGGCATTGTGTGGTAATAGAAGGAGCTTTGGTCCTGGCTAGAATATTTGTGTAGAAGTTCTAGCACTACTGTTATTTTTCCATGGGACCTAAGACAAATTATTTAATCTTTTTGGTCCCCTTTTTACTTTGTGGTCGATCTAAAGCTCTTTTTAATGTTAATCCTATTTTTCATCTTACTCGTTTTGTCCCAGTTGAACATCATTTGGCATCAAACATTCAGAGGAACCGTTTGGTCCAGCATGATCTCCAGGTGGCTAAACAGCTCCAGGAAGAAGATCTGAAAGCCCAGGCTCAGCTCCAGAAGCGCTACAAAGACCTGTGAGGATTTGGGGAGTAGGAGGGGTTGATGTCAGAATTGTGGAGCCAGCACCTAGGCCAGGAGTGGAGACCCTTCCTGTACCTTTGATCCTTCACTGTTAGTTTACAGATCCTACAGTGGCTACCCAATAGTTTTCTTTACTTTTAAAACTTTCTTTGTTATTGGAAAACTTGACTAGATTTTGGGGCACTGTAGATCATGGTGTGAACCCAACATTTTTAGACACATGAGCCAATTAATTGACTGCTCTTGAGTTTATTTTTCTTACCCATAGCAGGGGGGAAGTACTTACTTTCTCCTCTGCCTCACAGTTTCTTTAGGGGATCCAGTGAAATAGTAGATAGCAGTGGAATTTATGATTTGTTGTTGAGTTCCTTTACTGTTTCCTAGCATGTGTTTGCTGCTCTTTCCTTGAATCCTTTGCTTTTTTAAAAACAGAATGTTCTGGAAACCTCTGAGCTGTACACAGAGTTCTCTACATAACTTCAGCATCTGACCAAACTGTCTTCTCCCTTAACAGATAAATGGAAATGATTAGTTCTAAAATTCTCCCAGTACAATGACTTTTTACTTTTTTGTAATGTTTTTTTTAAATTTTTTCCCCTGATTTTATTTTTTAAATTAATTAATTAATTTATTTATTTATTTATTTTCTGGTATTGGGGATCAAACTCAGGACCTTGCACTTGTCAGGCAGGTGCAGCTACATCCCCGGCCCTGATTTTATTTTATTTTTATTTTTTTCCATTAAGTTTATTGGTACATTTTTGGTATACAATACAGTTACATTCATCATTGGGATCTTGTACCTTTACATGACGTATCTTGGTTCTTATTTTTTCCCCATTCCCCTGCCCTCCACACCCTCCACCCTTCCCTATTTACAAAGACTTTGTTTCCATGTTTTGTAATGTTTTAAAGCTCACAGGATATGTTTCTTGTCTGAGGGTGGCTCTTATAACCTAAACCTCTATTGAGAAATTTAACCACATAATATTGTGTTGAGGGCCAAGGATAAAGGGAGACGTGAAAGAGACCTTTTGACTTACTTTAATGTCATGTTGAAATAAAATAGGAAAGTCTATCAGTTTTGAGGAATGATGTGTCTTTTAGTTTATTATTTGTGAAGGGGACTTTAGTTTGCATTTTGGTAAGCTTTCTTATTCTGCAAATAAACAGTATTGACTTACCAAACCTGGTACCATGAAACTCGAGACCAGAGATAGAAATAAGGCACAGCCATTGGCTTTAAGAGCTTTAGAAAAGCACATGAGCATTATATAGCTAAGGATACATCTGTTAGTCACAGAGAATTTAATTATAAATTATATGTGTATGAAAAGAGAAGAGAGACTGGGAAAGGTTTCATAAGACAAGTTAGATATGTTTAATCTGAACCTTGGTGGTTCATTAGGATTTTATAGGGATAATTGGGAAAAAACCTTTCTATTTAGAAAGAGTAGCATGCATAAAGGCTGTAGATAAAAGGACTTGGAATCTCATGATAGTTGCAAGAAGTTGAGTACAGTGGACCCTCAAGTTACAACTGGCCTGACATACAAACAACTTGGGTTAATTAGGTTAATGGAAGATTCCTCTGCTTCTTGTTATTTATAGCATGATCCCAGGTAAGCATCCAGATCTCAGCTGTATTGACTTAGTTAAAATCAGGCCTCTGGAACCTATTGAGTTCATAAGTCAAGGGTCCACTGTATCGCTAAAGTGGAGAGTATGACTAAGGGTGAAAGTAGAAGTAGTCCAAAAGTTAGACCAAAAGGTCATGAAAGTTATATTAGGGAATTTAGATTTTATAAGGAATAGAGAGTCATTCAAGGAATTTTAACTTAGCATTTGGGACCCACTGTGGGAACTGGGTAGGAAAAGATTTGGAAGGGGAAAAATTGAAGGCAGCTATTAGGCAATGGTTAAATTAAGGGATGATAAAGTCAGAATTGAAGAGAGTGGTAACGGTGATACATTTGAGGTGTTCTGAGGCTCATTGTAACATATATAGGTGAAGAAAGAGCCAGAGCTAGACTGTTCTATAGTTCCAACTGCTCACCCTTTGTATTATTCACAATTCCCTGAGAGGAAGGACCAGTTCTGAGATTGATGAAGGATAAAGCCCTGAATCAGGGTAATTTCAATGAGTAGTATAATGAGGTTATTTAGAAATTATTAAGACCATGTAAAATATAAATTAGGAGTCACAGTGATAGTTTATAGACCTTACATGAGAGAAAAAACAGGTATGGTATTTTTGCCTGGGATTGCAAGGTTTGGGCAATCTTTAGTAAGTTAGAAAGAAAGTTTTTTCGTCTTTACGCCCTGGCAGTCTTGATGGCCAGGCATCATGGAATGGATGAAATGCTATGGTTTTAATGAACTGCATTCTGGGTCCTGGGGCCATTGTCCAAAGTGAGACTTACCAATGATTTCCTATTCCCTTCTAACTTAATTTCGCTTTGGCATAGTTCTGCATAACTTGATTACTGAACCAGAGCTGTATTCTTCAGAATGCAGCTTAGCTGAAACTTCACTTTTTAATTTTCTATTCCAGGAGATGCATCTTCTTTGTCACTTATAACCTCAAAACATCTCATTTGGGTTTGCTTTCCCTGCTGTTCTGCTTTTCTTCTATTTGTTTATTGCCTTGCATATAATTAGTAGCCACTTACTCCTATATAGATTTTACATTCATTGGAGTGTAAAAGATAGCTAGAGAAATCTTTTAAAACTAAGACTGTGATTTAATGTATGATTCTTAATTATAATAGACAAGTGAATAAAATATAAGAGGAAATAAAAATTTCTGCATAGGCTTTTATTTTCATTTCTTTGGCTTGACTAGTTAAGAATTTGAAATTATTTGACCTATAATATAAAGTCATTAAGTCCACACTTTTTCGTAGTTGATAAATGGCATGAGAAGGCATGGTTCACAGCTGGCAGCGTAGAAGCAGGATCACTGGTTCTAAAGCATGAAGCCTTGCTGCTTCTTACTTGCGCCTTCTGCCTGGTGTTCTCTCACCCTCATTCTGCCCATGTCCACATGCACGTACACACGCACTTTCACCCACACCTGCACACTTTCCAACTGGTGAAAATGGCCATTTCCTTATACAAATGAGAAGGATTTTCATCTCCTCAACTGTGTTAGAATAAAATATTTGGGTTTCATTTCCTCCAGAGAAGTCAAGATATTACCCCCCCATTCCTTTTTTTTTTTTTTTAAATCCAGCACTGGGGATTGAACTCAAAATCCTTACACTGAGCTACATCCCCAGCTCTTGTTTGTTTGTGTGTTTAGTTTTTTTTATTTTGGGACAGTCTTGCTAAGTTGTTCAGGGTGGGCTGGAACCTTCGTCAGTCTCCTGCAGCTCTGGGACTACAGGTGTGGGCCCACATCTGTTTCCACTTCTTAATTACAGAAGATTGACATTAAACATGGAAACGTGTAAGCAAGTCTGAGATTCACTGAGTATTTTAAGTTCAGTCCTCAGGAAAAATGAAGGGATGTATGTATTTAACAGAGTACTGCACATTATAAAATGCAAATGGAATTTTATTCCAGCATCTTTTTGATAGTCGACTGTAGCATGTTTTCATTCATCATTCCTGGCTAGTAGCTTTGTATAAAAGATGTCTCCTAGGAGATATCACATTCTAGAATTTTAATCTTCTGCACTAATTTTTCATGAAATGTGAAATCAGACTTGAGTGTCTGAGTAGCAATGGTTTCTGAGAGAAACAAACTATTTTCTGTGGAGCTGCTATTTTAAAAGTACTACTTGGAAGTATTTCTTTTGTCTACAAAAATGATTTCCCTTGTTTCTACCACCAGAATGTAATATGAGCTTCAGAAGACAGGTGGAGGATTCATTCATTTTTGTTTTTTAATCTGCATTGTTGTGTATAATGCCTAGTCCATAGGAGGTATTATTTAAATTTTTGCTGAATGCACAAATACCAAAATCAAACAAGCAAACACAAAACCAAAAACTGAGAAACTATGGTAATATTACAATTACAGTATTTGGTTTTCTTAATGATCAAAATTTTGAGAAAACTGGCATCTGTCAGAGAAATTACTATTGAAAACCAGAGCTGAGGAATATATACTGTTTTTGTCCTTTTCTTTCGTTTTCCTTTGTTAGCATAATTTCTTGTGTTTATTATTGAAGCTGAGAAAACCATTTTTATTTATATATTCATATATAATATTACATACACATAGTGTGTGTACACATGTGTGAGTGTGCGTGCACTGAATTCCATTCCCAGCACTTTTTGTTTTTTATTTTGAGTCCAGGGCTCCCTAAGTTGCTATATTTCCAAGCTAGGCTTGGACTTGTGATCCTCCTGCCTCTGCCTCCCTGAGTGCTAGGATTACAGATGTGTGCCACCATGCCTGGCTTCATTACAACATTTATAAAAGTAATTTCAAAGCCAGATTGTCACCGCTAGGGACCACAGTATTATTAGCCTTTTAATGAGTTTGTTTGCAAACTTGATCTGGGAACTCTGTATTTGGGTGTTTGTGGACAGTAGTCTCTGGGTGCATCACAGCCTTTTAAGAACCTGGAGAACACATGCCTGTCCTCGTGTACAGTGGCCCCAGTCCAGTGAAGTGATGTGGTCGTGAAGAGGAAGTGTGAACTTTACATTGAAGCATCTGCAGTTTAGACTCTGGTTTTGCTACAGATTTTCTCTGTGATCTTGGGGAAGTGATGTATGTGCTCTAGACCTCTGTTTCCTCATCTGTAAAGTGTGACAGCATCAATCTCATTGTGTCAGCCTCAATCTCTTTCATGAGGATTAATTGAGGTAAAAATACATGATGGCTCATAGTCAGTCTTCAGTAATTTGTGTTTATTATTTTTAGGAAAAAAATGTTCCTTATTTTCTTTATTCATACTATTTTCACGCTTGTTTTTTAGGGAACAACAAGACTGTGAAATTGCTCAGGAAATTCAGGAGAAGCTGGCGATTGAGGCTGAGAGACGGCGTATTCAGGAGAAGAAGGATGAGGTATAACTTGGCTAACACCCCACCAGACCATGGAGGAAGGGGTGCTCAGCTCTGGAGTAAAAGCTTTTTGTGTTCACCGGCTCAGTGCAGGCTTGTTGGGTGGGCAGCAGAGGTCTCCTGGTTTGGTGTACAATAGTCCAAGCAAGTATCATCCTCCATAGACCACTGTTTATTGCCTCTTGATGCGTTGCATAAGTGCTGAAGTCTTAAAAAGTGATAGGGGAGAATTTGAAGAAAGGTGTGCATTTGTCTCTCAAGACTGCTAAAACATATTAGCCAAACTTGGTGGATTTACACAACAGAAAATCGTTATGTGGAAGCTAGAAATATAAAATCAGAGTATTGGCTGGTTCATGGCTTCTCTTGAGAAGGCTCATCCCCAGTGTCTCTTAACTCCTGGTGACGCCTGGTAGCCCCATCACCTCAGCCTCTGCCTCCCTTGTCACATGGCCTTCTTCTCGCTGTGTAGCTTTGTGTCCTCGATCTTCTGTAAAGTGCACTCATCATTGCTGGAGCACCAACTCTGATCCAACATGACTGCAGCTTCTAAACACATTCACAAAGATCCTATTCTGAGATCCTGAGGACAGAGGAGTTGTTAAGAGCATTATTAACCTCACTGAAGGTTTCTGTGCCTTGGTTTTCTTGTAGCTTTAAAGAGAGTAGATCTCGAGTGGAGCCTGAACTAGAGTTAAGGGTATTCCTTGTGAGGTGCCAGGGGCTGACATCATTCACATTTTCTTTCTGTTGATGTTTTCATTTTCTGTGTTCTGTTGGCTTATATAACTAATCCGTTTTCTGTACATATTTTTAAGCTGCATTGTTTTGAAAGCTGAAAAATGACTGAAATTAGTAATACAGTCATCACCTTAGTACTCCACTGCTTTGAAACCTGTCAGTGTTGTACTTGCGGTATTTTGACATGAAAATTTTGTGCTGGTAATTGTCATTTGTGTAGCACTCAACTCATAAGCTAGAACTTGTCAGTGTCAATTGCTTTGTGACTTGCTACAGCCAAAACAGTTTATTTGGTATTCTTCTTTCTTGATACTTAATAATAAGTACAGTAGCGGGGTATCACTGTAGTACGTGGTTTATGAGAAGAATTGGATGTATAGTTAACTATTATTTGCTTTCGTGTTATGTATTTGTAGTATATATACAGTTTATTTCAGTTTGTATCCATTCTATGTCTGCCTTCCTTCACACTTATTAAGCTTTTCATTGTTACGTTTTGTGTGTGTGTGTGTGTGTGTGTGTGTGTGTGTGTGTGTGTGTGTTTGTTTCTGGGAATTGAATCCAGGGCCGTCATACTAAGCTATATCCCCAACCCTTAATATTTTTTGAGACAAGGCCTCAGTGTGTTGCTAAGTTTTTCAGGTTTGGCTCAACCTTGAGGTCTTCCTGCCTCAGTCTTCCTGAGTGCTGGGGTTATAGGCGTGACCCTCATGCTTGGCTTGGCTTGGCTATTGTCTTGATTATAATAGACAAGAAAATGATTTATCATTTTTAATAGGATGCCCATATCATTTATTATGTACATAGAAGCCACTTTGAGAGTTAAAGGGGCGCTTTTAATAAGTTTATTAATTGGGACTGTACTGGGCGAGCCGGCACTCACGATCATCCTGATAAGTAGATGTGGTCCGGGGTCATCAGTAAACGAGCCCACCTGTCCTGCTTCTCTCTCTTAGTTCTTGTTCAATATCAGACGAGTGTGAGACACCTGGTGTGGATGTGTTTAGTTGTTTGCACAAGAAACAAACCATGATGGTGTGATAATTAAAACTGCAAGTAAGAATTAGGGGTTATTTTTGATCCTTCTTGTTATCAACACAAGAGGCTCTTTCTTACTGCAGTATGTGTTGGCTCTCTGTAATAAAGACTTTGCCTTAGGGATGAAACTGGGGACTGAAAGAACTGATTCTATTTTGTAGACAGGAAAGCTTCTATTTTAGAAGTAACAGTTAACATTTATAAATGCTACTAGTGTCCTGTGTTTTCCTCCCTATTCAGAAAAAAAAAGAACAAGATAGAGAAACTGAAAAACATTATTTTAGGCTTGTAGAGTCTAAATAGCAATCAAAATAAGGACTCGTAGGGTAATACTGCATAAAGTCAGCAGTGTAGTGATTAACTTCATTTGTCAGATGAAGAAATTAAGTCTTAAAGACATAACTAGTCGAATATAACTAGTCACAAGTTTCATTAAGATGCAAGAGAAATGTTTGTACAGTTCAGCTCTCCTGAATGGCTGCTTCTGACTTAAGACAAGCTGTGGTACAACATACTACATATGGGCTTTGGGCTTAGGGTGACTTGGGTATGTGCATTATCTCTTTAACTTTTACCTGTGTGACTTGCATCTCAGGTAATATGCAGAACTTCAGGTTTCAAAAAGGGAGATTGTCGAACATACCCTAAAGGACTGTTGTGAAGTTTCAGTGAGATCCCATATGAGACCTCTGGGACATATGCAGTGAATAATTCCTGTTTTCTTTTTGCTTTCCTTAGCAGGTTTTCTTTTTCATAATTCTACCTCTTATATAATTGTTTGTCCAGAATTAGGGGAGAATTTAAGAAGTTTAAGTGTATACTAGTATGGCATCATTCGAAGGGGGTTTTAAGTATTTACCTGCCTTTCCAGGCCTTGCATTAACTTATTCTCCACTCCTATTTGACTGACTGGAATGCTCCCCCTTCCAGCAGAGTGGGAAAGTTAAATGAGAAATACACTTGTGGAGGTTTAATAACTAATTTATGCTTTAGTTTAGAAGATGGCTACTGTGTTAAGAAGTTATTGTCTCACAGGAGAACATGACTCTCAGTTGACTAGTATACTGTCAATACCAAACGAACAAAATTTGCATCATTAATCAAATTGTTATTAAAGGGTATGATAGTGCTCTTTTGTCCATTGGAAACAGAGTGACTCAGAGGCAGAAACAGCAGTGCTGATTTTTGACCAGTATTTGGAAAAGCATTGCCCATTATGTGTGAGCTGTTCCTCTTTTTTTTAAAAAAATTCTATGCTTTTCTGCTTCTCTGTAAGTCTGCTTAGTTAATAACTTCTTATTCACCAGCAAGGCTGTGGAAAATTGCTCTCTGAATTTTCACCTAAATTTTTTATGGAGAGGTCAACCCTAGTAGATAGTTGATAATCTCCTAAAAAACCATGTATTAAGGCCAGGTCTCCTTTCCTCATGGCCCAGATTTTGTTTTTCCTGAGCAATATTGTGAGAAGTAATGAAATATCTTCGATGAGTAGCATTTCCACCTTTGCTATGATGCAATTTTAGTTTGTTTGTTAGAGGGCCACAAAGGCCACGTACAGAGACAGATGTAGAAAAGCGAAAAAGCAAAAAACAACAAAAAAAAGGTTTTTTTGTCTCTAGCATTATGGATGCTTCCTTCTCTCTTCCCCTCCCCTCTCTCCCTATCCTGTCTCTTTCTTTTCTGAAAAAAGAAAACAAAAAAAATCTCATATGCAACATCTTAAATATGGTAGTTTGAATTTCTCCTGTTGAGGGGACTCTACTATTGTTTAATAAAAGTGGATTAATTCCAGTGAGATCTTTCTGTGCAGTCATAGCACCAACGTTTGCAGGGTTTTTTTTTAAAAAAAACAAAGCCAAAGAATGTGTGTTTAGTTTTAATTTATGAGTGTGAATCTGTACTAGTTGGTGGGACTACGTATATGTTTGTATGTTTGAGCCCTGTTTCAAAGATATATGAATGTGCAATTATTTTAGGAAAAAATCTTTTTTTTAAGTAAACATTAGAGTTGCCAAATGTCATGAAAGATTGTGGCATTAGTCGAACAATTTTAAGCCATTTACAATATGAGCAGTTCAGGAATAAACTTAGTAACCAATTTACATTAAAAATTGAATCTAATGTGAGCATGATATATATTTATAGCACTTAGAATGCTTTTAGAGTTTTGTATTCTAAAAGAATATTTATTTTATTTGGTAATATTTGGAGACTAGCTCCAATAGAAGTATATTTTAGTTATTTAAAAATTTCTTGTGTTTTGACACATTAAAAAATAGTTACACAAATATGAAAAGGAGACCAAAGGGAGGCTTCTAGTTGAGAAAATTGTTTCTCTTTTTATCCTACTTATGTTGATGTTTTTAAAACCATAAGGTTGATATCCTGTTTTCCTGGTTTTATAAAATAACTCTTTGGGGATTATTCCTGCCTTGAGGTGCTTTCTGAGTGAGTGGTTAGTATGTTAACTGCTAGCTAATAAACTAGTTTAGCAATCTAATGGAATAGTACTTTTTTCAGGTAGTCTTATGATTTGACAGTCATGTAAGAGAGAAATAACCATGATATGTCCTATAAACCATAAAATATCTTAAGGAACTTAATTCCATGATTTAATGATTTGTTTCTACTTGTAAAAGATGTGTCCTGGGCTCTGTGCACCTTGTTTATATTTATGCCTGTTTTAGAGCGCTCAACTTTGCATCTCTTTTATTATACTAATAGTTTCACTTTTAATACCTCATAGATGGAAACTTTAAGGTTATTGACCATGTCCTGATTCCCTACTGGTCTACAGCATCATGTTTGGCCCATTGAAGGGAATCACCAAATCTTGTTTTTATTAAAATGGGTTTTCCCTAGCATTCTAGAGACCCTTAACTGTGCCCTTTCTTAGGGTTATAGTTTATAATATCACAGATTTGGATGAGCTTAGAAAACAGAAGAGGGAGAGGTGAGGTGTAATGGTAAATTTACATTCCAGTTGACGTTCTTACTAAGAAGTTCTCTAGGGAGCAGGGTTATCCAAAATAAATCTATCTGATAAATTATAATATAATTGAAAATAACTTTAAAAGGGTTTAAGAGTTATTGTAATTTGTTTTCCTGAGCTATATAGAACACTAATTTCATAAGAGGTTTTTTATATGTAAAATGGGCTTTGTCCTAAAATAAATTTGGCAAATCTTAGGTTACAGGAAGATAATAATTTTTTAATAAAAAAT